CATTTATACACAATGAATGACACCCCATTTATTTACAATGAATGACACCTCATTTATACGCAGTGAATGGCACCCCATTTATTCACACTGAATGGCACCCCATTTATACACAATGAATGGCACCCCATTTGTTCACAATGAATGGCACCCCATCTATTCACAATGAATGACACCCCATTTATACACAATGAATGGTTCCCCATTTATACACAATGAATGGCACCCCATTTGTTCACAATGAATGGCACCCCATCTATTCACAATGAATGACACCCCATTTATACACAATGAATGGTTCCCCATTTATACACAATGAATGGCACCCCATTTGTTCACAATGAATGGCACCCCATCTATTCACAATGAATGACACCCCATTTATACACAATGAATGGTTCCCCATTTATACACAATGAATGGCACCCCATTTGTTCACAATGAATGGCACCCCATCTATTCACAATGAATGACACCCCATTTATACACAATGAATGGTTCCCCATTTATACACAATGAATGGCACCCCATTTGTTCACAATGAATGGCACCCCATCTATTCACAATGAATGACACCCCATTTATACACAATGAATGGCTCCCCATTTATTCACAATGAATGGCACCCCATTTATACACAATTAATGATACCCCATGTATTCACAATGAATGGCACCCCATGTATTCACAATGAATGGCACCCCATTTATACACAATGAATGGCACCCCATTTATTTACAATGAATGTCACCTCACAATAACACCTCATGTCACAATAACACCTCATGGCTACGAGAAAGTACTGAATTTGGCCTTGTGTTATAAAAGCAACAGTATTAGTGATTCCAGGGCAGGATTATTCTCAGCAGGTTTTATACACAATGAATGGCACCCCATTCATACACAATGAATGACACTCCATTTATACACAATGAATGGCACCCCATTTATACACAATGAATGACACTCCATTTATACACAATGAATGGCACCCCATTTATACACAATGAATGGCACCCCATTTATACACAATGAATGACACCCCATTTATACACCATGAATGGCACACAATTTATACACAATGAATGGTTCCCCATTTATACACAATGAATGGCACCCCATTTGTTCACAATGAATGGCACCCCATTTATTCACAATGAATGACACCCCATTTATACAGAGTGAATGGCTCCCCATTTGTTCACAATGAATGGAACCCCATTTATTTACAATGAATGGCTCCCCATTTATTCACAATGAATGACACCCAATTTATTCACAATGAATGACACCCCATTTATTTACAATGAATGACACCTCATTTATACGCAGTGAATGGCACCCCATTTATTCACACTGAATGGCACCCCTTTTATACACAATTAATGGCTCCCCATTTATACACAATGAATGACACCCCATTTATACACAATGAATGGCTGTGGGGGTGGCACCCCATTTATACACAATGAATGACACCCAATTTATTCACAATGAATGACACCCCATTTATACACAATGAATGGCTCCCCATTTATTCACAATGAATGGCTCCCCATTTATTCACAATGAATGGCACCCCATTCATACACAATTAGTGGCTCCCCATTTATTCACAATGAATGGCACCCCATTCATACACAATTAGTGGCTCCCCATTTATTCACAATGAATGGCACCCCATTCATACACAATTAGTGGCTCCCCATTTATTCACAATGAATGGCACCCCATTCATACACAATTAGTGGCTCCCCATTTATTCACAATGAATGGCACCCCATTCATACACAATTAGTGGCTCCCCATTTATTCACAATGAATGGCACCCCATTCATACACAATTAGTGGCTCCCCATTTATTCACAATGAATGGCACCCCATTCATACACAATTAGTGGCTCCCCATTTATTCACAATGAATGGCACCCCATTCATACACAATTAGTGGCTCCCCATTTATTCACAATGAATGGCACCCCATTCATACACAATTAGTGGCTCCCCATTTATTCACAATGAATGGCACCCCATTCATACACAATTAGTGGCTCCCCATTTATTCACAATGAATGGCACCCCATTCATACACAATTAGTGGCTCCCCATTTATTCACAATGAATGGCACCCCATTCATACACAATTAGTGGCTCCCCATTTATTCACAATGAATGGCACCCCATTCATACACAATTAGTGGCTCCCCATTTATTCACAATGAATGGCACCCCATTCATACACAATTAGTGGCTCCCCATTTATTCACAATGAATGGCACCCCATTCATACACAATTAGTGGCTCCCCATTTATTCACAATGAATGGCACCCCATTCATACACAATTAGTGGCTCCCCATTTATTCACAATGAATGGCACCCCATTCATACACAATTAGTGGCTCCCCATTTATTCACAATGAATGGCACCCCATTCATACACAATTAGTGGCTCCCCATTTATTCACAATGAATGGCACCCCATTCATACACAATTAGTGGCTCCCCATTTATTCACAATGAATGGCACCCCATTCATACACAATTAGTGGCTCCCCATTTATTCACAATGAATGGCACCCCATTCATACACAATTAGTGGCTCCCCATTTATTCACAATGAATGGCACCCCATTCATACACAATTAGTGGCTCCCCATTTATTCACAATGAATGGCACCCCATTCATACACAATTAGTGGCTCCCCATTTATTCACAATGAATGGCACCCCATTCATACACAATTAGTGGCTCCCCATTTATTCACAATGAATGGCTCCCCATTTATACACAATGAATGACACCCAATTTATTCACAATGAATGACACCCCATTGTGTACAATGAATGACACCTCATTTATACGCAGTGAATGGCACCCTGAATGGCACCCCATTTATTCACAATGAATGGCACCCCATTCATACACAATTAGTGGCTCCCCATTTAATCACAATGAATGTTACCCCATTTATACACAATTAATGGCTCCCCATTTATTCACAATGAATGGCTCCCCATTTATACACAATGAATGATACCCCATTTATTAAAAAAAAATGGCACCTCATTTGCTCGCAATGAATGGCACCCCATTTATTCACAATGAATGGCACTGCAATACAGTGCACATAGAGCAGGTGCGTTGCCATGCATTGTGCTAACATTCATTAAGGTGTGCATTTTAGCTCACATTGCCATAACGCATAAGTGTGAATGGGCCCTAACTGCTGCACATATTCAAGTATATATAAAAGTATTTTACCAGCCCTGGAACAAGACACCATGGGAAGGTTTCCATTTAGCTCAGAGTTCAGCACAGAACGTCCACTGCCATCGTAGAGTAATCAGCAGTGGGAAATTGTCTGTTTTAAAGCGGCCAACATTTTAAAGGAGAACTGAGGTCAAACCTTTTTTTTTTGGCTTTAATTCTCTTGTGGTTCACAGGAGTACATTTAACAATGTACTGCAATGACCCAAAGTCAGCATCAAGTGGGCTACTGCCAGGGACATTTCCAGGGACAAACATTTCCATGGACTAAGGCTTCATTTACATATGCCACTTGCGTTTTTATGCAAAATCTGTCAGGCTGGGTGCTTTGTTTGTACTTCTAGATGCTTAAAATGATCCATGTTTACACACATGTGCGTTTAGATGCATCTGTCCCCATTGACATACCCAATACCATTTCAGCAAATAAACGTGTCTTGTGTTTACATGGGTTTTGATGCGTATAGAAGTTCAAATCAATTCCTATTATTTGTAAATGCAGCTAAACTGACTGCAGGGAAACGCATCTATACACAAGGTGTGAATAGATCCAGTCATCATTAGATAAGTATATGTATACACTATCTTGTCAAAAGTATTGGGATGCCCCTCCAAATCATTGGATTCAGGTGTTCCAATCACATCCATGGCCACAGGTGTATAAAATCACGCACCTCTGCACGCAGACGCTTCTACAAACATTTGTGAAAGAATGGGTCGCTCTCAGGAGCTCAGTGACTACAAGCGTGGTACTGTGATAGGTTGTCACCTGTGCAGTAAGTCTATTCGTGACATTTCCTTTGCTGTGCTGTATGTGTATAGGCCAATGCCAGGGATCCCAACCTGAAATAAGCAATTTCAGGGAGGTGTCCCTCTCATTTCAGGGGGGTTGGGAGAGAGCACCCCCCCCCTGAAATGATGGCAGATAGCACCGGAAGCAATAGCTTCTTTGCTATCTGCAGGCTTTTTTTTATTTTTAGTATTCTGACAGTTGCAGTCGTTAGAATAAAAAAATAAAAAAAGGCATAAGAATGCATAGCTAGATCCTATTGGCTATTTCACTTTCCAATAGCCAATAGGAATCTAGCTATGCATTCGTATGCCTTTTTTTTTTTTTTTCTACTAGAGGTCCGGCC